GTGTCATTTTGTTTCTTTTGTGATGCACATTTGTGGTGCCAAGTTTGAAGAACACTGCTCCAATATTTCTAGAGATATTCTTGATTCAGGGTTTTACTGTTCAAGTGGAACCACCTGTGACGTTATCACTTTCCTCATTTGCATAATACAAAAACGTAAATATTCCTGGAATGAAAAAAGATGTTCCAAAAAGGGAAATGCCATTCTTCTTTACTTTGAAAAGCCTTTCAAATAAGCAGCAATTATTTTTTACTTCATAGGCACTTTAAAATGGAATAGGTTCGATTACTAGCCACTGTTCAAGAAATTATCCCGCGTGCAGTTGTAGACTTGAGAGATCAGCGGAAATCCAACCTAAAAACAGAAATTAAATGAGAGCGTTTCTTTTAATTATTGTTTCTTCGAGTGCACTCTAAAGGATACTTTGACAGCTAAAAATGGTGACGTTTCGTCGTCAACACCTTAAGTGAGACCAGAATCCTTGATTTGTACCCGAGACAATGACCTTCCCTGACCTTTTCATATAGGAGTTCCCCCCTGTTTTCGAACATCTGCAGTCACTTGCAATGCACTGTGTCAATTTAGTCATTCTTTGAATTTTCTGATGCAAGTACTCGATATTTTACCACAGAAATACCCTACATAGAATAGATTTTCGCATGAACATTTTTGTAAATAGAAGCTACCTGTAATTAAATGAATAGCTCGTTTCCCGAAGGTGCCCACTCATACAGGTTTAACCATACTTGATTGCCAAAAAAAGAGGACATTGAAAGTCACAAAATTGACGAGCTGTATGAATTTTTGAATGATTCAAGCCATGATTAAATGTTTTAGACGATCAACAGTCAAGAGAATCGAGGAGAATTCAAACGACGTGTTCTGCTCTTTATTTATATGAGATATTGTGTTGTCCTTGTGGTATAGTGACTCTATGCTGAACACATTTTTTTTAAATTTCTAAGATGACAAAAGGTAACAAAGAGAGAAAATATTACTGATACTGGCTGGGAAAATAAAGAACGAAAAAAATGAGAGGAATGAAAATGAGAGTTATTACTTGCTTTGGTGATGGGACAAGAAGCGGTACCTTCTTTATAATTGTCTCGGTCTCTCGGACCGATAGCTTCATGAATGTTTTCAACACTGTTACATCTCCTTGTGTATTCTCTTACTGTTGCGTTTTGCACTATTTAACACTTAACCTATGGATTAAAACCTCGAGTCAGTGGCATCAAAATTGTAACTGTTTACAGACAATCCATTTTCTAAGTTGAGTGGCTAATAGCCACTTTGATTTGTCTCCCTTTTACTTTCAATTCTGTTTTGGAATTACATTTCATTGTATGGTTTATTGGAGAGAATAAAAACACAACAACAAGTGTTGAGAAATTGCATTGCCTTATTTATGATTTTGCGTCATCAAATGCAAACTCTGCAAACTTCAATCCAAAGAAAACTTTTACCTGTTTCACGTAAATATACCCGTAATTTCATATCTGAAACAATAAAATTGATGTTGTACCTTTATTTACCACCTCATATACAGTGTACATAGTAATTTATTTACAATGGACTTGTACATGTATACAATTACCTCAGTAACTCTTTGTAGTATTATTTGACTAGTAAGTTTGACTTGTAAAATCAAGAGCAAATAATCTAATAATTATTGTTTTAGTACATGTAGAATTCTACATGAGCATGTAACTGAAATTTCCTTCAATTGACCATTGCCAATCATTTCTCTACTTTGTAGTAAACACCATGCTATAGAGAAATTGCGAGGAGTGAATTGTCATTTTAATTTTCCGCACTGTTAGCGTGCTTATCAATTTCTTCGACAATTTAGAGCTTAAAAGTCCAGAAACTGTTAATATCCTCCTGTGAGTTTTCTGTGGAATGAAATTATCCCTTTGCTTCTGGATGTTCCCTCCTTAACTTCTGTAAAATGAGAAAACATTGCTATTTCATCTAATTATGACCTGCAGCTACTGCACACTAATGGCTGATAGTGTACGAGTAGATCAGCCAATCCGATTGCAGCATTTGCATTAGTATACTAGAAGAATTCTACTAATTATTGTTAGATGAGGATAGTTCACAAGGTTGTTAGTCATGATATTTATGAAAGTCCAAGTGTCTACATGTATTGTTTAGTTTTGCATTTTTTTTTAAAGTTAACATGTTCAACAGTTATGATTATATATAAATTTAAACTTGTGACTAGTTGCAACTATACATGTATGTATTTTAGTACTAAAAGTCAAATAAACTTCATTTTCAGGTGTAGTATATCAGTCTGTAGCAGGTTCTACATTATCTCTACTTGTTCATTCTTTATTGCTCTTGCCACTGGAGACCATCAAGCCATTACTGCCATCATTCCTGGCTCTTCTACCATCTATAGATAGACTAAATAAGGCTCTCCCTTCAGCAGTGGTACTAGAGGAACAAGAGCTAGAGTGGCCTATTCAAGGTAAGCTTGACATCTTTTAAACTTTGTCACTAACCACTGGGCCGGCAACCTTTTTAATCTACAAGCTTGGGAAAGGTTTCGACAGGCCAACTTGGAGGCTTTCTTTCTTACATCCCATTCTGAAGAAGCATTTGCTTTAGCTTTTACCAACCACAGTTTACCAACTACCAGTTACAGAACATTGTACACTGAATGATTGATACCAGCAATGCCAATTTTTATGTAAAGAAAAACAACATACATGTACCATACATTTGTGGTGTAAAGTACATGTAGTTTAAGTATTGATTCTCTCAAATGATTTGACTCTAATTAGAAACATAGAAAATATCTTCTTGAATTGAACAACAAATAAAACAACTACAAAAAAACCAGAGATCATTAAGTTTATTATGTTCAAAAAGTCAGTTTTGGAAACTTAAATATGAGAGCACTTGTGCAGGTGAATTTAATTTAATTGGCATTCATTTGCCCCAAGACAACTTTGCACACTCCATATTGCAGACCTTTGTTTTCAGGGCCTACATGTACCCTGTATGTAGTAACCCAGTTTCTGAAAGTCGAAGTACATTATTGGGTTACAATTAAAATGGCCACCAGTGTTAGCTGAATGATGAAGCAAACACTCATATACAGCGTGTACATGTCTAGAAAAGAAAGCAGACAATCTTTAAAACAAACTTTGAATGAATGTTAATTCCACAGTTTGAGAAGAAATGAATTTATGACTTGTTGATTGGCATTTGCTAAAATAATGAGTTGCAGATTTCCTAATGAGTGTTCCGGGCTTGTCGTTAATTTCAGCATCCATCGATAAGTTTCAATGTCAAAAGCGAAAAGATTACGATTAATTTGGTTGACAGAACAAAAAGATATTATCCTGTGACGATTTTACAATTATAATGGTTCTTACTTACTTCTGGAATGAGAAGATACATTTTAATGAAACTAAATGTTTTCTCTTCAATGTTATCAGGGTTTTCGCTTATTCACATTAATAACTAACACGAATTGTAGTTGAAGAAAAGGGAAATTATTTTTGTTCAAGATAACT